TGAATGGAGGCTCCGGATGAGTCAGAGTCCACTCAATAGCAGTGGGTTGGGTTTGGGTTTCTGGTAGGATGGAATAGACCTGCCCCATAGAGTTTCAAAGTTGTACGTGTTTTACAGGAAGTCTTTCTCTGTGACATCTTTCACTTGTGGAGGAGGTGGTAAGTTTGAGCTGCTGGACTTTGAGTTAGCAGCTGAGTACTTAATGATGTGCTGTCAGGGCCTCTTTTCTGTGCATAAAAGGGTAGTTATTGGGGTGACAGGTCAGAGCTTTGTATAGAAAAGAAGCTTGTGGCTGTGGGTGGATGTTGGAGTTTGGGGTTCAGTAGGGCATTGGGGCAAACAGTGAGGCTGCCAGGACGGTCTCTAGATGAGCAGTTTAACAGGGCAGGCATCCACCGGACCTCAGGGATCTGGCTGCTCTGACCTTGTTGCTTTAAGCCTTGAACAGTCAGCTGGGACTGAGTCTGGATCCAGTGGTAGGTCTGAGCTAGGTCTCAGGGAGAGTCCGACCTTGGGTGGGCGAGGCCCCAACCCATTCTGCTGTCTCTCCTGCTTATAGTTCCCTTCTCAGACCTCTCTCTGGATCCCCCATGCCCAATATGGCCTTCCTCTTTTTTTTTCCTTTTTCTTCCTTTCCTTTTTTTTTCTTCCTTTCTTTTTCTTTTTTTTCTTTTGAGGGTCTCTCCCTCACTGGATCACTTCCCTAAGGGTTGGAAAAGCAGGTGCTGGCTCTGTGGTCCATCCTTGCTTCACCTCTCTGGACATTCTGGTTTCTCCACAGAACCCTTAGGTTCTGGGCCCCTGCCTCCTGTAGCTGCTCTCCTAGGGCCAGATCCTCCCTGCGAAGGAGCAGGAGGGTGGATGGCCTGGCCAGTAGAAGTAAAAGCCTCCAGTCTGCGAAGTTCCCCCAGGATTTCCCCATGGCTGTGGGGCAGGATCTTTCTGGACACTGACAGGAACAGTTGGGGTTTTTGCCCCCCATCTTGAGCACAGGATCCAAATACATGCCAGGTCAAGACCTTGGCAAGCTGCTGGAGGAAGGATGAACCATTTGGAAAGTGTGAGAAGGGGTGATTAAAGGTAGAGGGGTCAGGGCTGCTTGGCAGGCACTTGGCACTGGACATGATAACTCAGGGCTCCCTAGCTCAGTCCAGCTTATGTGCCCAGGACCTCCTCTGCAGGGGGCAGTGCAGGAGTCAAATGGAGCCTAGTGTGTGTCTGGCTAGCACTGGCTGTGTGTCCCTGAGCTGCCTGCTCAACCTCCCTGAGCCTCCACCTTCAGTTCCCCAAAACAGCTATTGTTAAAGGAATCTTCACTTGTAAAACCCTCTCTCATACTTCCACCCATTTTTTCACTGAGCAACCCAAGTCCCAGGCGGGTATGTGGTTGCCCAAAAAGCTGCATGGCTGCTCACCTGAGGTGAGATTTGGATTCCAATCTGGCTGGGCCAAGCCCCTGTGCCCTTTACAGCTCTGCTAAGCCATCTCTGTAGCAGACATCACTAGATGTCCATGAGGGTCAGTGATGGCCAGGCCAGGCGCACTAGGCTGAAAAGATGCTGGCACACGCCTTTGTTTTTTTGGCTGTGAGCTGGCTCCGTGGGAGAAGTGATAGAATTGCCCCTTAGCACTGTCTTGTGGAAGTGGGGTCAGATGAGGAGGGAGACTGAGCCCAATGGGCAGACCTGGTGCTGGGGGCCCCCAAGCAGAAGAAGGTCAGAGTTGGCTGAATGCTGGAGGGAGGGGACTTGAAGCAGTCCCAGGAGCCCCCACCGATGAACCCCAAGGGGCTGAGACCCTGGACCAAGTATGCCCTGGTTCCTGGGAGCAAGTGGTGATGTTGACACACAGCTGGAGTCAGGCAGAGCTGGCAGGTGCCCTCTGCATCCCTGTCACACTTTCAGACCCAGTTCAGGTTTAGGGGCCCGACAGGGAATTTGGGGAGATGGCAGCGCCAAGTGTCTTAGAAGGCACAGTCACCTTCCTTGGGCACTGGCTGGCTGACAGAGCCAGGACCTGCTTCCTTCAGTTGGACATTCCGTTCCACAGCTGGGAGAAGCTTCCATGTTCTACCCCTACCACATCCTAGTTGGTAGGGTCTGGGCTGGAGAGCCAGAGAGGCCCCTGCAACTGGGCAACAAGACTAGAGGACATGTTCCTGCTTGAAATCCAGCTAGTTAGCCTTTTCCTCCAGGAAGCCCTCTTGACTTCCCTCAGACAAGCCAAGCCCTGGAGGAAAGACAGGAGATGGGGAGATGCTGCTTGTACCCCCAGGGAGAGGTGGAGAAGGGTCAGGCATTCCTGTTACTATCATTACAGATAAAACTGAAGCCCACTGAGTGGACAGACCTCCTTGCTCCAGTAGGTGGAGCTGTGGATGCCAGAGAGGCTGGAACCCCGGAGAGAAACCAGGGCAGGAGAGGGTGGAGGTGAGGGTACCAGGCCAGAGCCCAGGGAAAGGGCCACTGGGGACACGTTGGGCTGTGATGGAGAGAGAAGGAAGCAAGTCAGGGGCTGGAAAAAGGAGGCCAAGCAGGCACTGTTCCCCCTCTGGCGTCACACTCTGTGTGTCAGGGATGGAAAACCTTGCTCAGAGTCGTGCAGGGAACCACTGGGGAACATGTGGCTTTGCTATGGCAACCAGGCCTGTTTCTATAGGATTTGGCAGCCCAGCCTAGACTGGGACCTGAGGCAAGGGCCAACTTGGGGCCAGGCAGCTCCATTACTGGCCTGGAGCTCCAGCTGGTTCCTGGGGCAGGCCACCGCACCCTACTCAGCACTGTGGCTCAGGGGACCCCCAAACACTTGCCCTGTGATGCAGCCGGCTTGCTGCTGGGAGCTTCCCACTCACTGCTGCCCTCTCTAGGGCCCAAGTGGTTGGGACCCTGCCTGCTGGGCCCAGACCCAGAGGTGTGACCATGGGTCTTCAGTTCAGATGGTGCTGGGAGGGACCCCTCCTGCAGTGCTCAGAGGACGCAGGGCAGTATATGCAAAACGAAGACCCTTATTTGCGAAGTGGCAGGGGATGTACCCCCAGGCCTGGGCCCCCCTTGAGCCTCAACCCCAGCTTCAGGTGTGAGGGAGGTGGCTGGTCCTGCCCTGGCTGGGCACGGCCTTTTCTGGGCAAGGTCAGCAGTAGCCAGCTCGGGGACTTGTTGGCCCCTCATGCCCACACCTACCAGGAGGATAGCCTGCTTCCTCTGGGACCAAAGGGTCTTCCTTCTGAGTGGGGTCCCTGGCTCCCAGGCTCCTCCTTTGGACTTCACCAAGAGGGTGATGGTGAGCCTTCTTAGCGCCCCCAACTCCACTGCTGCTCAGAGGACCCTAGACAGCCCACTCAGCTTGGCTGGATGACTTGGCTGATAGAGAAGTGTCCTTGCCTATGGTGACCAGACCAGGGTGGAGCACCAGGCTTGTGTCCAGCAGGTTGCCAAGGGGACCGGGGGTGAGAGGTGGTCAGTACTGCGAGGCCAGCCCCCCTAGAAATCAGGCAGAAGACTGCTCGTTGCACAGTGTGATGCAGAGTCTCAGGATGCCTCACACTTGCTGGGTTATAGGGCAAAGCGGGGCTGGGTAGAGCTCTGAGAACCCCATGGATTCCAGTCTGGCCCTCACTGTCTGTGGAATGGCCCGGATTCTGCTTGTGGCTGTGTGACTTTCTCATCAGCTCACCTTGGAGCAGGGTGCTCATCAGGCTGCATGGATGGGGGCAGCTGGAGGCATTCCCGGGACACGAGTGCTTGCCAATCAGCCCCCCATTCACTCTGTGTGCCCTGGAGGAGCAGACGGGCTTGCCAAGTCCAGGTCAGCATCAGGGGCATCCTCCTGCATTCCCACCTCTCCTCCCACCAGCCAGGCAGCCTGGGTGCTTGGCAGGAGCAGCCATGGGCTTCCTGGAAAGACTGAGTCCTCAAAACAGACTGCTGACCAGACACATCTCCTGAGTCCCTTCACTCCACTACCCCTGGGAACCCGGCGATCCTCCTGCGTGGATGCGGCCACCAAAGGCTGATCATAGCTGGGCCACTCGCTCCTCAGTCTGAGTGCTCTTCTGGGGATTCAGATCCCAGCCTTCAGTTCTCAGTGGCTGGCCCTCAGCTGTCCCCTCTCCAGGCTGAGGTGGCTGCTGTGAGAGGAGCATGCCCTGGACCGGAAGTAGAGAAACTTTGGGCTTCAGCTCTCAGGACCCCATCTAACCAGAATAATGGTGCTCAGAGCATGGGGGTTGGGCGTCTCGGGGCAGACCACCACAGGTTCAGAGCCCTGTGGCTAGGGAGGGTTCTTGGGATGTGCTGACTGAGCTGACCCACAGTAGGCGGTGAGCAAGGGAGCAAGTGCGAGGATACCTAGGGCTTAAGATGAAGTGGATTGGTGACCATCGGCATAGTTGGGTGTGGGCGGGGTCAGGACAGCCTGATAGAGAAGGTTCTAGTGTTGCCAGTCTTTGTGCTGCCCTTGGTGTGGGGTGGGCTTGTTTATTCACCTGTGGCCTTCCCGGCCAGCCTCCTGCCCTCAGCACAGTGGCCAGGCCATGTGAGGTGGGCTCTCATCCTTGCCATCACCCTGAGGTGAAAGGTCAAGGCTGGTGCCAATGAGAGTTGCCCCTCGGCTTTCTTAGCTGGGGCTCGACTCTCTAATCTTCATGGGCCTACTCTACTCCCCCGCTGTGGCCAGTGTCCTGTCCCTGGGCAGGTGGCAGCACCTGTGGGAGTGTCCTATTGAGGCTGGTCACCCAGGGTTGTCTATTATGGGAGGGCAAACCTAGCTATACTCATGTCAGTGAAGCAGAGGTTTAGGGGACTCCCTTACATTTGGGGTCGTACTAGGTAGAATCTGGGACTCTTCCCTTCTTGGGCTGTGAACATCGGGGTGAGAGGCAATCAGGGGACTTTGTCTGCCATGGACATTCTCTCCCTGGTGGAGAGAGGCTTAAGCTATCTGCCCCTTATGTCCAGTGATGATCCCTGTCTGCCCTTTGCAGAGGATATGACTCGAGGACCCTAGATGCCAGCCAGGCATGAGCTCGGGCAAGAACGCCCGCTACAACCGCTTCTCTGGGGGCCCTACCAACCTTCCTGCTCCAGACATTGCCACTGGGGTAAGGTGACCCTTGGGCAAAGGTCCACTTTTCTGGGCACAACCACAGATCCAGGGCATGTCTGTTCACACACATCAGTTTGTAAGCATATGGGTGTGTATTCCCATGTCTGCCTGTATTGTGAATGTGTCTGCTCACCTATGTGTGTAAATGTGGTGGTGTGTATTGGGGACGGGTCTGCTCACATACTGGTGTATCTTTTGAGGATGGGTCCGCTCACACGTGTTGCATTTACTCCTATCGGTCTGTTGTGATTGTACCCGTTTCCATGTACACACAGTAGCCTGTGCATAACCGTGTGCTTGTGGGGTGTCTGTCTTCACACGCATGATGCCTTAGTGTGTGAAGGTGTGGTGTGTAAGCATATCTGTATGCATGCTGCAGGTGTGTGTGTGTGCACACGTGTGGCATGCCCACTCACACACTTGTTACATGTTACTGCATAAACGTGAACCTCCCTTGCCCTCTGCAGACCAGGATGGAGACAACCTTTGGACCTGCCTTTACAGCCGTCACAACCATCACAAAAGGTGAGCCAGGCACCCCGCTTCCCGGAGCCAGGCCTTCTCCCACCCCTTTTCCTTTACTCCCACCCACCTCCTTCCCATGCTAGGAGTGTTCCATGGTGGATTAGGGGTACTGGCATGGGGTTAGACAGTGGACACTGCTTGAACTCTCAGCTTTCTTCCGGTCATTCCCTCCCCTCCTCCTGGCCCCCTGCCTGAGTCACCTCTGCAGGCAGCTTGGGCACCATGGGCACCCTGTGGGCAAGAAGCCTAGTGGAGCTCTGTTCTGGAGCATGGTCCCATCACCTGGCACCAGCCCTTCAGGAAGGTCACGGGAAGTGGCCGTCAAGGGTGCCACCTCCTTCTGAAAGGTGTCAGGCAGGTGACCCCTTTCCCAGCCGGTGCTGGGGGGACCCTAGTGTAAGTTCTGCCTTTCTGGCACTGGCCCCCAGGCAGGAGGACACGAACCACTAATTTAGCTTTTTAATTGATTTCCCTTGTCCCCCTGGATTTGTGTGGTCCCTGGCTTGGCTGTCTCATATACCTCTGCTCCCCAGGCCTGCTGTTGGGTGATGCCTTGCGGCTCTGAAAGTGCCCTTACCCTCTAAGTGCCTCCTCTGCATAAGGGGAAAGCAAACTCCACTGCTGTAGAGTCGATTTCACCTCTTGGGAACCCCGTAGCAGGGTAGGACTAACCCCACAGTTTCTAAGATTGAAACCTCATCACCAGCAGGTCCAGGATGCAGGTCTGCAAGTCCACATCCTACCTCACACCAGGTGACCCCAGTGCAGCCACTTGAGTGTAGGCTGAGCCCCGATCTCCCTGGAATAGAAGGAAGATACCCAGTCCCTCATGTGCCTGAGGAGGCAGTGCTAGGACTGCCCAGGGCAGGCCAACCCTGCAGACATCCTCCAGGATCTGCTTTGATCTCACAAGGCCCTTGGGTCTCCCTCAAGTCCAGGGAGGGCTGGCTGAGGGACATGGCAGCAGTGTCCCCGTAGCTCCAGCCTAGCCGCAGCCATGTGCTCCCCTCAGACCTAGAAGACAATGATTTGAGGGAGAGAGAATATAGTCCTTCCTTCAAGGGGTCCTGCCCCACCTCTGCCCCCAACCTCTGATCCCTGGGGCAGGGCAAGCCCCACGGCGCATACTTAGAGTGGTCCTGGTCCCCCTTGTCTCTCTCAGCTGATGGTACCAACACATACAAGCAGCACCGAAGGACACCCTCTTCCTCCAGCACCCTCACCTACTCCCCTCGGGATGAGGAGGAAAGCATGGTAGGTCCCCCCAGGAGCAACTTGGAGCAAGGTTTCCAGGAGAAAGGAGCTGATCAGTGAAGGGCATCAGCAGAGGGGCAGTGGGTGCAGGCGCCCCATGGCTACAACTCTGGGTCTGGGAGGAACCCCTTCGGGGTTGGAGGGGTATCACCTGCAGGTTAGGTAAAAGGCTGCTTTATCTCCAGAGGAACGACTGTCCCTTAACACCTGATCAGGAGGAAGCATGTTCTGAGTAGGCCTCAGTCTACTCTCTGTGGCACTGAGATGGAGGCGGGAGGTCCAAGGAAGAAGAGGTCCACCCAGTCTATGAGCTCAGCAGAGGCTGGGTCCTGTGAGTTTTATGCAGATGTTGGAGAGCCCAGAACATTCCCTGGGGACTTTGCAGCCTGAAGGGTTAAGGCAGAAGCAGGCTAATCAGCAGTCCAGCCAGGGCCTGGGGCCGGGGGACTGGACTTCCAGGGACAGGAACACTGACTTCCCTTCTGCCTGGTGCCTCCTTTCCTGCCCATGGCAGTCCACAGCCAGCTCTGCAGACCTCATGCCTCTTTCTGCATTGCCTTTGGGCCTTTTGTTTCTCTCTCCTGGGGCAGACTTGTTCTGGATTAGCAGAGCACACTCATGTACCAGACACTGCAGTGGCCCCAAAGTCCAGACGACCCTGGGTTCGTCTCCCCCTGTTTCAGCATTTCTGGCCCAAGCTGTGAATTGAATGGCCACCTAGGTCCAGGTGGATCTGAGCCATGCTAACAGAGCCAGGAGGGCCAGGCCTTGTCCTGTCCCCCAGCACAGAGGTGGTGCCCAGTCCTCACCTCTTGTGGGCTCCAGTGGGCAGGGACGAGCCAGCCGGGCAGGCAGTAGTGTGGACCATGGGGCCGAGAGTGGCGGTCGGGTCTGCTAGTTTTCCCATGATGCACTTCCTGCAGATTTGCCTGTGCTGCCAGTGCAGGCAGAGAACTGGAAGCCTAGCCTCTGGGCATGCACGACCACTGCTCTAGTGAGGTGGAGCATGTCCGGGCATTCGGTTCAGGAGGTCTCTCTCTCCTTGCTTAGAGGAGCTTGATGCTCTTTCAGCCCGGTTTTTGCAGCTGTTGAACCCCTCACCAGGGCTTCCAATGTCCAGGAAGGCACAGCCAGCTGGGCAACTTTGGTCAGAGCAGTTGGTTTACATGGGAGAAAAGCTGGGCCCAGGAGGTGTGGTAGACATGCCTGGGCCTTGCTAACCTGAAGGAAGTGGTATCAGATAGCCATCAGCCAAAGTGAGGCTTGTAGACTACTGCAGCCTAAAAAGGAATCCTGGAGGTTTTCTGTCCCTGTGGAGGGAGGAGCAGCACTTAGAGGGGGCCTTCCACACAAAGTGTACTTCCAGAGATACAAGCCTGGGGTTGCTGGGTCTGTCCCCACCTTCCCTGCATCCTCAGCTGGCCGGCAGGGGCTGCCAGTGCATGACATGGGAGCCCGCGCCCCCTCTCATCTCACTGCCTCCATTGGTTCAGTCTCTGGCCACCAGGATTGGCCAGTGGAGGTGTCCCCTATGCTCGGAAGAGGAAACAGCCCAGCACGTCCTGGTAGAATTCAATAGCAGGAAATGTGTCCATTTACACAAAGAAAGCTGGCTGATGTGAGCTGGAGGCAGAACAGTGTTGGGCCTGCGGGCCCCCAGGGCTCCACACCCATACTGCTCCTACCTCACGGACAGCTGTGCCTCAAGTGGGGGCCACCTTGCATTGGCCTCTCAGCTGGGGTGCAGGCGGTGGACGGATGCTCTGACGTCCCCTCTGTTTGGCCACAGCCCCCCATCAGCACTCCACGCCGCTCGGACTCGGCCATCTCTGTCCGTTCACTGCACTCCGAATCCAGCATGTCCTTGCGCTCCACGTTCTCGCTGCCCGAGGAGGAGGAGGAGCCGGTATGCCCAGGGGGTGGCTGGGCCCCCACAGTCCTCGGACAGCCCCAGGGTGCAGGGTGAGAGGGCCACGAGGAGCCCTCACTCTCTCCATCTAGGAAAGGGGTGGGGGCGGGGTTGGCTGGCTGCTGGCTGCAGTGTCCCCTACCCCGCGCTTTGCCAGGTCTCCATACTGCTCGCTCTCCCCCTCCTCACCCCCCACAAGGGCTCTCTGAAAGCCATGGGGCGTCCCCATCTGAGAGAGCCACCCAATCCCCATGGGCCCCAGGCTGCACCTCACCCCCATGTCCGCAGGAGCCCCTGGTGTTTTCAGAGCAGCCTTCAGTGAAGCTGTGCTGTCAGCTGTGCTGCCTTGTGTTCAAGGACCCAGTAATCACCACGTGTGGGGTAAGGGGACCTGAGCCCAGAGGGGTCAGAGTTGGGGAGGGGGGATTGGGGCGGGGCTTTGTGTCACCTGTGTTGTTGGGGGTGGAGCTGAGGGGATAGATCCAAGGTCACTGTGTACAGGGCGGGGCTGGGGTGGGGTCCTGAGCACCAAGCTCACTTGGGTTGGTGTGTAGGTATGGACACAATGCTGGGTAATTGTGCTGTGGGTTGAGGGGTGCACCATGTGGGGTAAGGGGAGAGCATGATCATGTATGCCTGGCTATGGGTGGGAAGAGTGGAGCTGTGGGTGCTGCACCAGGGGTGAGTGAGGGACGGAGATAGCGGTGGGGCGTGGGGTACCGTGACCACTTTGTGTGAGGTGGGTGTGGATGACTGTGCATCAGAGAGAGAGGGGCAGGACTTGATGGTGTGTGGAGTGAGGAGTCAGGGCTATGATCAGGTGTAGGGGTGGGGTGTAAGCGGGGCAGGGGTCAGCACTGCTGACCACACAGCTAGTGGGCTGGGGGCTCCAGGAGGTGTGGGCAGCCCTGCCGGAGGCTCTGGCTAGCCGCTGCCCTCTGCCCCACAGCACACCTTCTGTAGAAGATGCGCCCTCAAGTCAGGTAGGTTCCCCCGAGACTTCACCCAGTCCTGGGGACCCTCTGGCTCTGTCCTCGATGGCCTTTCCCAAGGCAGAGAGGCCTCTGCACATCCTGCCTAGTCCTGGGACTAGGCCTCATGACCCGCATGCTTGACCATTGGAGCCTTAGGGGAGACAGTGGTGGGCTGGGAAAGTGCCTCAGGAGACACATGGGCACCCACATGGGGAGCCTGGGTGGCATCAGGGAGGGGTGACCAGTGTGTCAGCATGCCCTTCCCCCCCAGAGAAGTGCCCTGTGGACAATGCCAAGCTGACCATAGTGGTGGGCAACATCGCAGTGGCTGAGCAGATTGGGGAGCTGTTTGTCCACTGCAGGCACGGCTGCCGGCCGATGGGCAGCGGAAAGGCCAGTGCCTTTGAGGTGGACCCCCGTGGCTGCCCCTTCACCATCAAGCTCAGCGCCCGGAAGTGAGTGGACCCACAGGGTGGTGGGGGCCCTGTCTGCTCACCTGGATGTTCATCCTCTCCCCCAACTGCCCCCGTGTCCCCTGTAGGGACCACGAGAGCAGCTGCGATTACCGGCCTGTCCGGTGCCCTAATAATCCCAGCTGCCCGCCCCTCCTCAAAATGAATCTGGAGGCCCACCTTAAGGAATGCGAGCACATCAAGTGTCCCCACTCCAAGTACGGGTGAGTGGGCGGGGGTGGGTGTGGGTGACGGGGGTGGTGGCTGGCAAGGCCTTCTGGGGCGGTGAGGGGTAGGGGTCACCAATTGAGAACCTCCATTGAGAACCAGCTGTGCAGGGTGCTGGGAAACAGCCAGACTCCCAGGATATAGACCTTACCTGGAAGCTGCAGCGATGACTAATTACAAACCCGTCACAGGTGACACCAAGGAGCAGCTCAGCCCAGAGGGAGTAAAGAGGAGGGCTGGGCCAGTGGGGGAGCAGGGCGGGTAGGGGAGCCTTAGGGGACAGCTAAGGCCAAGAAGGCCAGAGGGAACACCTTGGGCAGAGGGGCAACTAAAGTCTGGAACAGCACAGGGAGGCCAAGAGGGGGTCTATCACATTCTGAGAGCAACCCTCCAGGAGCTCTGAACAGGAGGCAAGTGAATACCTTTCACCTGCGAAGTGTCCTGTTGGCTCCTAGGGGTGGGAGGATGGCAGTTCCGGATCAGAGGAGATGGAAGCTGGCCTAGGGGATAGTGGTGCGCAGGCATGGGAGGCCGGGGGCAGTCGGTGGGTGGTAGGCCAGCAGCAGGTGGGCATGGCTGCCGTCCTGTGCCCCAGGTGCACATTCATCGGGAACCAGGACACGTATGAGACACACCTGGAGACATGCCGCTTTGAGGGCCTGAAAGAGTTCCTGCAGCAGACAGACGATCGCTTCCATGAGATGCAGGTGGCCCTGGCCCAGAAGGACCAGGAGATCGCTTTCCTACGCTCCATGCTGGGCAAGCTCTCTGAGAAGATCGACCAGCTGGAGAAGAACCTAGAGCTCAAGTTCGGTGAGGCCTGGGCCCTAATGGACGTACTGGGTGACCCCCCACTTGTCTTTGCTGACACAGTCCACTCCTGCCACCAGATGTCCTGGATGAGAACCAGAGCAAGCTGAGTGAGGACCTCATGGAGTTCCGGCGTGATGCCTCCATGCTGAACGTGAGCTGGCTACCCAGGGGCCTTGTTGGGGGCTCCTCTGGGGTCTGGGTAGGAGGCTACCTCAAGGCCCCAGCAGTCCCACTTACCTGCCCATGACTGCTCTTGCAGGATGAGTTGTCCCACATCAACGCACGGCTGAACATGGGCATCCTGGGATGTGAGTACGGCCCCCACCCTGCCCTGCTGTTTTCTCCTGCCCTCTGCCACCCATGGCTCCTCACCTTACCCTCTCCCTCCAGCCTACGACCCTCAGCAGATCTTCAAGTGCAAGGGGACCTTCGTGGGCCACCAAGGCCCTGTGTGGTGCCTCTGTGTCTACTCCATGGGAGACCTGCTCTTCAGTGGCTCCTCTGACAAGACCATTAAGGTGGGTGGGGTGGCCAGGGACTGTGCCCGCGTCTGGCTGCCTCCTTTTGTGCATTCCAGCGCACTGACTACTGGATGCCTGGCCTGTTTCTGCAGGTGTGGGACACGTGTACCACCTACAAGTGCCAGAAGACTCTTGAAGGCCATGATGGCATTGTGCTGGCGCTCTGCATCCAGGGGTGAGGGCCTCGTGGAGGGCAGGTGGAGCATAGCTGCTGTGGTGGCAGCTCCAGCAGTGGGGACCCAGAGAGCCCACCTCCCTGCCCCCAGGGGACCCCTCTCCTGGCTTGCTGTCTTGGCTCCTGTCAGAGTTTTGTATGGACCCAGATGTGAGCATGTCTGTATCTATATGAGAGTGTGAATGTATGTGTGTTACTGGTACACGTGAGAGCACATGAGTAGAGATGTGTGTGTCTTGGCTCCTGTCAGAGTTTTGTATGGACCCAGATGTGAGCATGTCTGTATCTATATGAGAGTGTGAATGTATGTGTGTTACTGGTACACGTGAGAGCACATGAGTAGAGATGTGTGTGTCTTGGCTCCTGTCAGAGTTTTGTATGGACCCAGATGTGAGCATGTCTGTATCTATATGAGAGTGTGAATGTATGTGTGTTACTGGTACACGTGAGAGCACATGAGTAGAGATGTGTGAGTGAGTGTCTATAGGGGCACAAGTATATCGTGTGTCAGCATATGATAGCATGGAGGTGAGTAAGCACATGTGTGTCTGTCAGAATAGCTGAATGGTGACCACATGTATGAACATAGGTGACTGTGAGTGGATACATGTACAGAATTGGAGGAATGTGAGCATGAATGGCATGTGTGGATGGAGGCGAGGATGCGTGAGCTTGTGTATAATCCTGACTTCTTGGGAGTATTAGCATGTGTCTTTAAGCATGTGTGAGCTTTCATGTGAGTGTGAGAATGTTTAAATGTGAACACTCTTGGTAATCATGTACGAATGCACGTAAAAACGCAAAAGCTTTGTGTATAATCGTAGCTTCAGAAAAGGCAACAATGAATGAATGAAAATCCCTTTTTTTATGTAAACTTTTGTTAAAATAACAATTAAAATTAAATTTTTTTAAATAAAATCACCAAAATCAGGAAAGTACTGCATCAGAGATGCATTCCGTCTCCATACCTTTTCAGTCTATATGCAGAACAGTTCATTCAGCAGGCTGGACTTTATGAGGAGGAATGTGGCATCAGGCTTGGAAGAAAACTCATCATCAACAATATGCATTAGGCAAGCGACACAAACCTTGCTTGCCAAAACTGAGGAGGACCTGAAGCAGAAGGTTAAAAACTACTGCAGGTCAAAAACTGCAGTCTTCAATATGGATTGAAGATCAACATAAGAAAAGAGAGACTCTCACCCCAGGGCCAATTAGCAGCATCATGAAAGACGAGATTGAGGTTGGTAACAATTTCAGCTTGCTCAGCTCCACAGCCTTGGTACCAGCAGTCAGGAAATCAAAAGATGAATTGGGTTAGGAAGGTCTGCTGTCAGGGACCTCTCTAGAGTGCTGAAGAGCAAGGATGTAAGTCTAGAGACTAAGGTGTGCCATACATCCTGGTCATGGTCTTTGTAATTACTTGCTCTATTGGAAGACACAGAAGAATTTCATGAAACAGAGCCTATGGTGATGAAAGAAGAAGTTCAGGCTGCTTTGAAGGAAATGGCAAAAAATAAGGCTCCAGGAATAGATGGTATACCAATTGACATATTTCAGTTAACAGATGCTGCCCTGGACATGCTCACCAAGTTGTGCCAAGAAATCTGGAGAACAACCACTTGGCCAACTGACTGGAAGAGATCGATATTTGTTCCCATCCCAAAGAAAGGTGACCCAACAGAATGTGGAAGCTACAGAACAATCTCACTGATTTCACATGCAAGCAAGATTTTACTGAAGATTATCCAAAAACGACTGGAACAGCACATCAGCAGAGAACTGCCAGAAGTCCAGGCTGGGTTTAGAAGGGGTCGTGGTACTAGGGATATTGTAGCTGATGTTAGATGGATCTTGGCTGAAAGCAGGGAATACCAGAGGAATGTCTATCTGTGTTTCATTGACTATGCAAAGGCATTTACTGTGTGGATCATAACAAACTATGGCTGACTCTGAGAAGGATGGGAATCCCAGAACACTTGATCGTTCTAATGCGAAACCTATACTTGGACCAGGAGGCAGTCGTCAGAACAGAGCAAGGGAACACTGCATGGTTCAAAATTGGGAAGGGCGTACGCCAGGGATGCATCCTATCTCCATACCTTTTCAACCTATATGCAGAACAGATTATCCGGGAGGTTGGGCTCTATGAGGAGAAATGTGGGGTTAAGATTGGTGGACGATTTATCAACAATCTGCGTTATGCGGATGACACAACCCTGCTTGCTGAAACTGAAGAGGACCTGAAGCACCTGCTGCAGAGTGTCAAGGACTGCAGCCTATAATACGGATTGAGGCTCAATGTCAAGAAGACAAAGATTCTCACCACTGGCCCAATTGGCAGCATCAGGATGGATGGTGAAGAGATTGAGATTGTACACAGCTTTAGTTTGCTTGGCTCCACAGTCAACAGTCTTGGCACTAGCAGCCAGGAAATTAAAAGGCACATTGCCATTGGAAAGTCTGCTGTTAGGGACCTCTCCAAAGTACTGAAGAGCAGTGGTGTCTCTCTGGATACTAAGGTGCAGGCCATGGTCTTCGCAATCACTTGTTATGCATCAGAGAGTTGGACAATGACCAAGGAGGATAGAAGGAGAATTGATGCCTTTGAGCTGTAGTGCTGGAGAAGAGTATTGAGAATACCATGGACTGCTAGGAAAACAAACAGATTTGTCCTGGAAAGGGTCAAACCGGGTGGCTCCTTGGACGCAAGGATTCTGAGGCTCCGTCTAACATACATTGGACATGTTGTGAGGAGAGACAGGTCCTTGGAGAAGGACCTCATGCTTGGGAGGGTGGAGGGACAGTGCAGGAGAGGAAGGCCCTCTATGAGGTGGATTGATTCAGTGACTGGGATAATTGGGATGGGAGTGTCAGAGACAGTGCGATTGGCACAGGACAGAGCGGAGTTTAGGGCTGTTGTACATAGGGTCGCTATGAGTCGCAAGCAACTCGACGGCACATAACAACAACAACATATCAGAGCTGGACAGTGATTAAGAATGATGGAAGAAGAATCAGTGCCTTTGAGTTGTGGTGCTGGAGTGTATTTCATGTATTGAACATGAAAATAGACTACCAAGACAATAAAAAGCCTAGAGAGGATGAAACCAAGTTACTCCTTGGAGGCAAGGATTTTGAAGCTCCATCTCATATACTTTGGCCATGTGGCTAGGAGGGACCAGTCCTTGGAGAAGGACCTAATGCTTGGAAGGATATAGGTTCAGCACAGAAGAGGAAGACCCTGGATGAGATGAATTGACACAGTAACTGGAGTAATGGGGGTGTCAGACAGTGAGATTGTCTCAGGATAGGGCAGGTTTCAGAGCTCTTGAACATAGAATCACTATGAGTTGCAGTTGACTCAAGGGTACATAACTGTGTATGAGCATATTGTGTGAGTGAGAACATGTGAATGTGTACGTTATGTATGAGCTCGTGTGTATAAACGTGGATTAGTGTGTGGGGGAGTGAGTGGAAGTGTGGGTGTACATGTGTGCATCTGTGCGCAAGCCATCAGCTCCCAGGTTCCTCCTCTGCTCAGTGCAGCTGTGCGCGCAACACAGCACCAGAGGCGTGATGCCCTCCCACTTAACTGTGAGATGCCTTCTAGGCAGGTGCCAGGGTCTGGCTGCAGTGTCTGTGGGAACACAGCCCTGACATGTGTCTTTGCCTCCCCAGGTGCAAGCTGTACAGCGGCTCAGCGGACTGCACGATCATCGTGAGTGGGCAGGACAGTGGTGGGGCTGGCAGGTAGGTAGGCATTCTTAGCACTCTAAGGCCCCCATGCTCCCCTCCTCCCCAGGTGTGGGACATCCAGAACCTTCAGAAGGTGAACACGATCCGGGCCCATGACAACCCAGTGTGCACGCTAGTCTCCTCACACAACATGCTCTTCAGTGGCTCCCTCAAGGCCATCAAAGTATGGGGCAGGGCACAATAGGGTGGAGCCCCGTGGGGTCTGGAGTACCAGCTCCCTGACTCCAAGCTCACTGAGAACCCCACAGGTCTGGGACATTGTGGGCACCGAGCTGAAGCTCAAGAAGGAGCTCACAGGCCTGAACCACTGGGTGCGGGCCCTGGTGGCCGCCCAGAGCTACCTCTACAGTGGCTCCTACCAGACAATCAAGGTGTGTCCTGCAGCCCCTGGTTCTCAGCCAGCACTCCTGGGGACTTCTACCTGCGTCCAGAAATCCATGCTGACAGGCTCAGCCTTCTTGTGGGTGGGTGGGTGGGTGGGTGGTCCAATCCAGAGCCTTTCAGACTTTGGGAGGTACTCAGCCCAGAGCAGAGGAGGGTAAAGGCTGGTACTCCCAGAAGCCCGCCCTCACCACAGATCTGGGACATCCGAACCCTGGATTGCATCCACGTGCTACAGACATCGGGTGGCAGTGTCTACTCCATCGCCGTGACAAGCCACCATATTGTCTGTGGGACCTATGAGAACCTCATCCACGTAAGTCTGGGGACAAGGCCTGGCTCAGGACCTCTCTGTCCTATCCGCACATCCCTCACTTAACCAGACCCACTTCTCCCAGGTGTGGGACATCGAATCCAAGGAGCAGGTGCGGACCCTGACAGGCCATGTGGGCACTGTGTACGCCCTGGCCGTCATCTCAACACCAGACCAGACCAAAGTCTTCAGTGCCTCCTATGACCGGTCACTCAGGGTGCGTGCCAGCTGGTGTGGCACTCGAGGTGGGAAGCATGGGCTTCGTGGTCATGTCCGTGGCCTCACATTTCACATGTCCCCAGGTCTGGAGCATGGACAACATGATCTGCACGCAGACACTGCTGCGGCACCAGGGCAGTGTGACAGCGCTGGCCGTGTCCCGGGGCCGGCTCTTCTCAGGTGCTGTGGACAGCACCGTGAAGGTCAGTGGGAACCCGGGCGGGCAGCAGGGAAAGGTGAGAGGGGCCCCAGGAGTGCCTGACTCGAGCCCTGTCCCTGCAGGTGTGGACGTGCTAATGGAGGCCCAAGGCCTTTCAGCAGGCTAACTGAACAGACAGCCTCAGGGCACTAGCTGCCCTTTGGGGCTCAGGGGCAGGCTGGGCACTGCCCTCCTGGCCCATGCTAAGCGCCATCTCCACCACTACCACTAGGACAATGGCCAGCACCCTGCCCTGAGCTCCAGGTACGACCCTCGGCCAGCCTGGCCCGGCCCTACCCAAGATGGACCCAGGGCCTTTTTACTCCGCTTTTCTACTGTTTTTAGAGTGTACATACATTTGATTACTTCCAGACGGAAATAAACGCTGCACCAACTGTGACTGTGAGTCTGCACAGTCCTTGGGGTGAGGGGCGTATGTTGTAAGGGGAAGGGGTGAAGGAATTCCTTTCTCCCACCTCAGCACCCCACCTTGGGTCCAGGGGTCCCACCTTTCCACCTCAGATAACCAAAGCCTTTGCTTCAGAGTCAGTTGCAGCCTGATGCTGTAAGACAGGGTAGAAATGCCCCAGAGAGTCTCCAAGCTGTACACCTGTACAGAAACAGGACCTCCTTGTTCTCCCTCGGAGCACAAGACGGATTCACACTGCCAACTTTTTCAGTAGCCACCCTACCAGGGCTCCCTCTCCCTCAAGTACACCCCTGCCCTGCAAAAGAAGTAGACCAGGGAACTCCATTTTCTCTTTATTGACAGCAGCCCCCTGCCCAGATCCCTCCCACCTACCAGAGAAGGACCAGAAGGGAGGCCAGGTTGCTGCCAGGATGCTCACTTCCAGGGAGCGTCAGAGCACAGCAGCTGGAAGGGCCCCTGCCCCTGCCCAGCAACTTGGCCATTGCCAGCTGGCTGGTTTTCATAGATTTTCTTTTTTCTTTTTTTTTAACTTTTATTAAGAAATGTCAGATTTGTTCCCAACACATCTGGATCAGCAAACACAAGAGACCAGTCAGTACTTTGTCGAGGGGAAAGAGAGTAGCGGGGTGGGTACTGGGAAAGGAGAGAGGGAAAGAGGGGTGAGAACACCACACGACACAGCCTCAGACCATGAGCAGAGCGGCCGTCTAAACTCGAGTGAGGGCTGGACTGGCTGCTGTACAAGGCCAGCGGGGATCCTGGGGGGCAGGAACGCACGCACACTCGCCACACACAGCCGCATGCACACCTCCACGCCCACACCTGCTCACTTGTCCACTTGCGCCCACGCACATCTTCCACCACCCCTCCCAGGACTCGGCCAAGCCCATGAGGGGAGCCTGCTCCCCGGCTCCCACAGGCTCCTGTGGGCCTAGAAGAGGACACAGCCCATCAACGAGCAAGGCACATCCTTCGAGTTCTTCAGACAGAGAAGTGAGAACAGAGAGGCAGAGACTGACAGAGCACCGACCCCTGCCCTGGTCCCAGCTCCCTGTTTGTGCTACTGGGCCAGGCCTGGCCCCTTCTAGACAGATGGAGGGACGGACGGACAGGGGGCCAGGCCGCTAACAACTTAGGTCTCGAGCTGCACTGCGGGCTCCTTTCCATCGGTAAATGGTCTTCTATAGAATCAATAATATTTTCTTTCTTTAAATATATATTTGTTAAAGTTATACCTTTGTGTTTCTCTGGGGAAGTCTGCCTTAGCTCATTCCCAATAAATTAATACTCTCCATAGTTTATATTCTGAGGGATGGGGAAGAGGGTGCAGTGGGGAGGGGTATCCCTGTGAGCTCCAGCCTTGGTCCCCTGCCCCTTGTGCTGAGCTACAGCAGCTGGCCGAGACCCTCAGTCGGCAGTTCTGTGCTGAGCAGAGGCCTGTGCACTGCCACGGAGAGGACTGGGCTCTGGCAGTGCCTCCACCCCTCATCTGGGCAGGCCCAGAGCCCTAGTATGTATTGCACGGGGAGCAGCAGGCAGGGCCATGCACCACAGAGTGGACAGAGCCCTTGGAGCCCAGCCAGGCGCCCCAGGCAGAGGGCAGGATTTGTGCTTGTTCAGGGGCTGGGGATAGGCCCGTCCCCGACTCGGCCCGCCGTCGCCCGGCCCAGTAGCCTGTCCTGAGGTAAAGGTCAGTGTGCGGGGTGGGGGTGGGGCAAAGCCTGGTTGGTGGGGGCGATCCCCACCTGGGCGCCCGTTACTCCAGCATGGCATCGAGCTGGTCAGCCAGGTCATCAAACATGCTGCCGATGTCATCTAAGATGCTGCCAGTACTCTTCTCCTCAGCTGCTGAGGGTCTGGGGGCAGCGGGACAGGCATGAGTGGGCAAGGCCAGTCCCATCTCTGTCATGCAGTGGCTGGCCACGCCCAGCCTGATAAGCTCCAAAGGATAAGTGCAAGTCTCCCGTCCCCCCCACCCCCGCCAAGGCCAACTTTTGGGTGTAACTAAGCATGACCCAAGGACCACCACATCATGCATTCTTTGCTCTCTTGAGCCTGTGGTTTGACCTAGGCCCGTTCCCTCGTGCATGACCAAACCCAATTGGGCACCGAGCTTAATCTTAGGGTATAGGTCATGCCCCCTACAGAAGACCCTGCCCCGTCCTGATTCCTTCCCACAGCCCACACTAGCCACACCCCCTTGTACCCGCTACTCACAAGCTCAAGCAAAGCCAACCCCAATGACGGAGGAGACCCCCATGGCCTCGCCCTCCTAAGCACAGGCGCACCCATGCGGGGCTCCCTCCTGTCAGGCCCCGCCCTGGCTTCCCTAGGGCCTGCTCCCTCCACGACACCCTGCCTACCGCTGGCTCTGGCCGTCCTCCTGCCGAATCTTCTCCTCCACCGCCTGCAGCGCGGCGGCCAGGCATGCACTGGTCTCCTCCAGCTTCTGCCTGGCGCTGTCCCCGGGGGAGGCTCCGTCGGGTGCGGCTGAAACCCCGATGGCCGAGGCCGCAGCGGCAGCGCGCGGTGGCTTGGCGGGCACGTGCAGTGCGGGTGTACCGGGGGACGAGGGCCTGGGGCCAACCGGAGGCGGCGTGCCCGCTGGCTTAGCAAAGGTGGTGGATGGCTGGCGCGCCGGTGAGGGTGCAGGCGACGGACTGGCGCTGCCCGACGGTAACCCCGCTGCGACCTTGACCGGCTTGGGCGCGGTGGGAGGCGGTGGAGGCTTGGGCGACACAGGTGGCGGCGTCCCATGGGCACGTTTCACCTCTGTGGAAAGGACGACGCTGGAACCAGGTGGGGCCCCAGACCTGGGTCCATCGCTACAATGTCCCGCCACCCGCTCTCCCGGGCCACCAGGTGGCGTGCTCCCATGGCCAATGCAGGGTCACCCTGGCTGCAGCGCTGGGGATCTAGGCTAAACCCGGCCCAGGGCAGCCTATTGCCAGCTCCCCTCCACGTGGGAATGTCATAGTCCTCCCTGGCCATCTCGCACCTGCCCTCCCTCCACAGGTGCTATTCATGGGGTTTGTGCAGACCTACGCCCATTTGCTCCAGCTTTGGGATGGAGACGCTCCCCTAGCTGGGGCAGACAGGGTCCTGCTTCCTGCTCCTCACACCTTACCTGGGCTGCCTGGGCCTGGGAAGGGAACCTTCTTGGACACTGGCGTTGGCGAGCCCTGCATCTTGCACACAGGCTGGGCCAGGACAGGTTTGGGCGACACTGGAGGCTTGGCCGGCTTCCGTGCTTCATCAGGCAAGGGTAGCGGAGGCAGGTGTGCCAGGTCAGCCGGTGGTGGTTCGGCTGGCGGGGGTGGTGGTGGCAGCTCAGGGGGCGTGGCCTGCTCAGAAACTGGCCTGCGGCGGAGCGTACCAGTCCCAGTCCCATTTTGATATACAGACAGTGGCGGCGGAGGTGGTTCGAGCCCCACTTCCCGCTCCTTGGCCTTGGGCCTACGCTTCACTGTGTCAGACTCGGTCAGGATGAATTTGACATTCTCCTGCTGGCTCTGCTTCGCTCGGATGCGCCTCTTGAGAGTGGCACTGGCTTCCACCCTGGCCAGGGGTGGGCCCTCGCTGATGCCATCGCCCTTGGTAGGGCCTCGGGGCCGCTGCCTAGCTGCTCCATCCTCGGCAAAGGGGCTGTGCTGTTCTACAGGAACCACTGGCTCCCCAGAACCCCGGCGGGCAGTGGCCAGAAGTCCAGTCACTGGCCCACTGAGTGTGCGACGCCGGTTCACCACTTCTCCATCAGGCCCAATGGCCTCCTTGTGCTTCACGGAGGCCAGCACCGTGGCCACTCGCCCTGGCTCTGGGCTAGCAGGGTGAGGTATTGGGTGACCTTCGGGGGGTCTTCGGGCAGCCCGGCCCCCACCCCCGATGGATGACAGCTCAAGCATGGCAGCAATGCTCTTTACACTGCCTGCACTGCCCGTGTCCACGCTGCTGGCCAGATCACTGGCCCTCCGGCGCTGAGGCCGCACCGCTAGCCCACCATCCTCGGGGCCTGGCTCCTCAGTCTCGGTTTCCAGCCCTGGCTCATCAGCTAGGTTGGCGCTGGCCATGGCAGAACTGGAGCGCTTGGGTGGGGGTGGCGGGGGGCCTTTTTTGCGGGGCCTCACAGCAAAAGACTGGCTGCGGTTGACGTTCTTGTCAGCGCCTGCTGGCGCCCTCACAGAGTGGCTGCGGCCCACCCGCCGCTGGACGGTGGCATAGGGCCCTGCTGCCGCAGGCACCAGCAGCTCATCGCGCTCTGGCTCACTGTCTGATGCAGCGTAGCGGTTCAGGCTGTGGGCACGTTTCTTGGGCCGCCCTGGCTCGGTGTCACCTTCAGGGGGCAGGCACAGCCTGGGCACAGGCCCTGGAGCCCCAGGGGCTGTTTCTCCCTCCACAGGCTGGGGCAGCACATAGGCGAAGCCCCGGTGGGTGGGTGACTGGGGCAGTGAACGTGGGGACATGGGCCGCTCTGCCGGAGGCAGCAGCTGTGGCGTGGGCTTCACTTTGGCTGTGGCCGGGGCAGGCCCATGAGGAGGCCCTAAAGCCTGGGGGGAGCTTGGCCGGGCTTTTGTGGGTGTCTGTGGGGGTGTGAAGTGGCTGGCACTGGGTGGAAGGATCTGCCGTGGCTTCCCAGGCACGGGGGGCACACTGGCCCGCTTGACACTGTGGCCGTGGCGACTGGGCCGGGCCTCCTTGGGTGGTGTGCTGGGGGCGGGCCCCTCATCCAGCAAGTACTCCTGGCTCCGCGACATGGGGCTGCCTGGCCCCAGGGGCCCATCACCCAGCAGCTCCTGGGAGCTGCTCAGGTGCCGTGCCCGCCCTCCAAGGCTGGGCTCCTGCCGCAGGCTGCCCCTCGGGGTGGGTGGCAGCTGGTTGTACGGCTTCTCGGTGGCTGCGGCTGTGCCCTCTGCAGGACCTGTCAGGGCTGCCTGCAGCTCCCCACTGAGCTCACTATCCTGGAAAGTGGTCATCTTTGGAGACTGGCACTCGGAGGGCATAGATTCAGGCAGGGGTGGAGATTCGATGGCCACCACCTCCAGCGACTGGGGTGCTTTCCTGCGCAGTGGACCTCCCTCGTACTTGGCATACTCCGCCTTCTGCAACTCTGCCAATTTCCTCACAGCCAGCATCAGTTTCTTCTGATGTCCTGTGCAGGGATTGGGGTAGTCAGGCTGGGCATTGGGAGGTCAGTGACAAAAGGGGGCAGGGGGCAGACCCTCACCCAGCTTGGTGATGCCAATCTCCTGTAGGTCTTCCCAGGTGATGTCAGTGATGAAGTCGATGTTCTCATAGCCATTGTCCACCAGTACTTTGTAGTACTGAGCCAGGCCAATCATGGACAGCCACACGGCCAGGTTAGCCTGGGGGCAGGGAACATAGAGGGCAGCCAGAGCTGGTGCCCACACCCTGCCTGCCAGCTCCCAGCTGTGCTTGGGAGGGGCACTGAGCCAACCAGCACAGACAAACAGACGGACAAACAGTCTACGTCTGGACCGGCTCTTCTGGGCCCGTGTGAACATAGGCAGACATATACGCAGGGCATTTCCCCTCCTCAGACACCTGCCCCCAGGAGAGGGGGAAGGAACCCAAGGACAGCTGCCCATGTAAACTCACTCACAGGTCATGGACGCAGACACACGCCATCACCACATCAATACATATGCATGCATACACACTGCACATGTGCACACGCACGGCATGCTCAGTCACATACAGGCACGGACTCCCACATTTGTTCATACCCCACTTGTATCTCTCCTGCTCACACACAGCCATCTGCTTTGGTCACACACACCTCTAGTCATCTCACACATTCATGATGAATGTCACCCTAGAAACACCACTCGGGCCCCAAATGGAGTCCACGCTCCCACGGTACCCCATTCACACACCAACACACCAGCACATGGCACACTCATCAGCCCTGAGGATGCAGTGACATGTGCAGACTGAGGGGTCCTTATGAGGTTGAGGTGACTCTCAAGCTACTAATGGGGGAGGGGCAGGACAGGCTGTGGTTGCAGACCCACCAGACAGCAGCCTGAGAGAGGCAGCCTGAGAGAGGCAGCCTAGAGCTGAGATGAGCCAGGGCCACCCGCTCCCAGCCCGACCCCAGTCCCCACATCTGTAGACATTCCTAGAACTGTGACCACCTCCTGACATGCACACACATCAGTGTGTACCCACTGCAGCCCTGCTCACACGTGAGCCATGCCAGTGTGAAACCTGGACCAGCCAGTGATGTGCAGTGACTACAAGGGCAGGAGGAGCTGGCTGAGCTGGTGGGGTATGAATGGGGATGTGGAGGTGAGGAGGGGGGAATTCTGGCTCCATGCCTACAATGCTGTCACACCAGCCTATGACAGATGGACAGACAGACAAGAGGATGTACAGGGAGGTTACTGCTACCAGGGCCATCCTCTGCCCTTCTCTCCTGAGCCAGAGACTGTCTGTCTGTCTATCTGTCTGCCTGGGCCCTGGGTGATGGGGGCCTTACAGGTTTGTGCTCAGGCAGCCAGTCAGGAAGGCTCAGGCCACTGATCTCTGCTGTGATCTTCTTCCGGTGGCCTGGCTTGGTGACGCCAATGGCCGTGAGGTCCTGGGCAAGGAGAGGCCTGTTAGCAGGAGGCTGGGGACCTGTTCTGGGGAGGCAGCAGTAGCTGGCTGAGGTGACTCACCTCAGGGGTCATGCGGCTAATGGTGGGCAGGTCATAACCTGCGCTGATGAAGTTGGGTGCATAGAGCTGCAGCTGGAACGTGGCCAGCCACTGGCTGACCGCCTCGGCACTCTGTAAGACACAATGGCACCCGCTGCAGGCCTTACCTGCCCACCAGGTATATGCCCTGCCTCAAGCCACCTCCTCTGCCACGTGGCCGGGCTGGCCTCTGCCGTCCCTCTCCACCAGGCTCCAGTCAGCTCTCTTGGCGCCGCTGTCCTTGGGCATCGTTGGGCCTCATGGCCATCCTCTGTCACCACTTGGATGCTCCAACTGTTGTCCATGTCACAGGCCCCCGATCATCCCCTGTCCCTGCACCAAGGATGCCCAGCGGCTCCTGGAAGGATGCTGCCACCATCTCAGGGGAGACAAGCAGTGTGGCCTTGGCTGAGGGCATGCTGGGGAGGGGCCTTGGTGTGAAACAAGGCTCTTCCCCCACATAGTCCCCATAGTCAAGAGCCTTGGGGCTTGGGTATGAAGCTGGTTTCTATCTTCAGGGCCAGGGGTCTTGGGGTGTGGGATGTGGGTCTGTGTCCAGGCTTTGCTGGGTAGGGTATGGCTGGCTCCACAGGGCAAGGGGTCCCTCACCTCCTCCATACCCAGGACAACTCAGTCAACAATTCACCACCAATGCCCAGATACCCACATACATACAACCTACTTTCCCCTGGCACACCCCTCCTATCACCTCACACACCTTCCACACATTTGTGCCTGGTCCACAGTCACCCTGCTCTCCACACATGCAGGCACCTCAGGGCCATTCCAGCTTCCTTGACTCTCACACTTCCTCCACGTGTCCTTGCACATCCCTCATACACACACTGGCTCACGCATGCACAACAGACATTTATACATGCGTGCGTGTGCACACACAACACACACAGACGGACAGACAGACAGAGCACAGGTCTGGCCCATCAAGGCACCATGAGAGTGGCCAGCTTCGGCCTGAACCCCTGCCCGCCCACGCCCACCTGTGAGCCGAGCCTCACCCAGTACCTTGCCCTCCGATGCCAGCTCCTGCTTCCGGGGCTGCTGTTCCACGGGCCCCACGGGAGGCTGGGCACGGGCAGCACCTACAGACCAGAGTGGTGGTTGGGCAGGAACTGCTCAGCGGCCCACCAGGCCAGCAGCCACAGTGGTCTCTTACCTGCAGGACCTTCCTGAGGCTTGATGGGGCTGTCCCCGGGGCTGGACTCAGACACAGACTTCTGAGAAAGTACGGTCGCCAGGAGCTAGAAGCCAGAGAGGTCACCCATCTGTGCCGTTCAAGGCTCAGCCACCCTGGTGACCACCCCCACACCTTGCCTACCTTGACCCCTTCAGAGCCCGCATGCAGGGCATGGCCACTGCTGCCCCGGCCACCAGCTGCGCCGCTCAGGCTGCCACTGCGGTCACTACCTACCAGCATGAGGGATTGTCAGGCTTCAATACTCCTGGCCCCTGCCAGGCCCCCAGTTAGCGCCCACAGGAGGACAGTGCCCAGCCCTCGGGGCCCCAGCCTACCTGCAAAAGGCTTCCTCAGCACCCAGATCTCCTCTGGAGGCGCAGAGGGCCCCGACGGGCCACCTCCCGGGGGTGGGCTTGGCTCCGGGCCAGCTCGGGGACCTGCCAGCCCAGCACAGGCTCCCTGAGGCCCGGCCAGGGAGGCACAGGGGCCAGTACATACACTCTGGGTCAGCCATGCAGTGGACAGACACACAGACAAAAAGAGAGACATATACACAGACAGACATACAGAGATACACATGCAGACACAGGGAAACATACAAAGAGATACACACAGACAGACAGATACACCCAGGTATGTATACAGGTAGACATTTACACTCAGATACACATAGATATACACAGACACATACTCTCACATCAACACAGGAACAGACATACAGATACAGAGACAAAGATATACCCACGTGTGTGTATATATGTGTGTATATATATATATATATATACACACACACACATAGAGGTATACCTTCTCACATATACACACCAAGAGACTACAAAGACATGAACACATTCACTCATACACAGACACATACAGACTAAGGCATATAGATAGAGATAGATAGATAGATAGATAGATAGATAGATAGATAGATAGATAGATAGATAGATAGAGATAAAGAGATATAGACACACACACATACTATGGATTACTTTTATATAGTCCTTCTCACCACTTAAAAAAAGAAAAACGTACACACCCCTAAAACCCCCACTAATGCTGGTGACAGAGCCCAGAGAAGTTGCACTGCTAACTCAGAGAGCACATCTCTGGTGGTTCGAATTCATTTTTCGCTCATGGGCAAAAAAATGAGCACTCTCCTCCCGTGTGATTTACAGCCTCCAAAAGCCCAGTGGACAGTCAGCTGGGAGAGGGTTCTGACTCAAACGCAGTCTCATAACTGCCACATGAGTGGGAGGGACTATGCAGATGACATGCATGTAGCCCAGTGGGAAAGGGACAGGGCAGTCTGGTAATACTGTATTTTATTGTACATATCACCCTGGTGGGGGTGGGACTATGCAAATAAGGTGTATGGAACCATACTGAAGGGACTGGTATGTTCTGACATCCTGTTAGGCTTAAAATGAGCCATCCCTGGGGCAGATGGGGTGGGGAGACCACTGCTACCAAGAAGAACTAGAGGACCCAGGGTCCCCACACTGAGAAACTTCTAGACAAGAGAGCATTGTAATACCAGTGAGGGAGAGAGATGAAGAGAAACAGGCAGAGAAAAGGCAGCAGACCAACAAGCAGGCACGGTGGGCACTGTGGGCAGAGAGCTCACAGGAGAGTGGGCGCCTCCAACCACTTACTGTACCACCTATTCCTGCAGCCAAGAGGGGCAGAAGGGCCAAGAGTACAGAGAGAAGCAGGCCTGTTGGCACAGCTTGGGAAGATAGTGTCTCTAACTCATTCCTGATCCTGGAGCCTTCCCTTCCCTAACAAACCCCATAATCGTGAGCATGATCAGAGTTCCCTGTGGCCTCTGCAGTGGACTCCTGAGCCCAGCAGAGGGATGTCAGGTATCAGCAAAGTTTAGAAAATGGACAGCTGTCTGACTTGCCTGCCAGGAATCAGTTGTGGTCTGAGCTGTTGATTCTCCTTCCTATTGTGAAGGGAGAAGAGGTCAACGGCCCTGCCATGTTGTTTTCACACACACACGTGAACACATGCACACACACAGAGACAGATAACGAGGCAAACCTCATTATACTGCACTTTGCAGTTAATGCATTTTCACAAGCTGACGATGGTCTGTAACAGCACAGCATCAGGCAAGTCCACAGGGACCATTTTTTTTCTCATTCATTCTCTGTTGCACATTTTCTTCCCTCGCCATCATGGAGAATATTTTTTAACACATGTGCTGTGTGTCTCTGTGTATCTTTACAGTCATTCTCCCAACATTTCCAGTGTTCTCATAATGTTATTATTGCACACTGGTGGCCTAGTGGCAAGGAGTTGAGCTGCCAATCCAAAGGCAAGCAGTTCAAATTCACCAGCTGCTCTGAAGGAGACAGATGGGCAATCTTTCGTGCAATTTACAGCCTCTGAAAACCTGGTAGAGATTCAGCCATGAGTCAGTTCTGACTCAATGGCAATGAGGTTCTTTTGAGACTATATTTAATAAACTACCAAACAAAAAAATGAAAGCCATTGCTGTTAAGTGATTCTGACTTGCAGTGGCCCTGTAAGACACAGCAAAATGCCCCTTAGGGGTCCAAGGCTGTACCTCTTTGAGGGGGTGGATTGCTTCACCTATCTTCCAGGGAATAGATAGTGGATTCAAACCACCAACCTTGAGGTGAGTAGCCAATGCCACCAGGGTTCCTTTAATAGACTGAAGTATAGTAAATATAACTTTTCTACACACCAGGAAACAAAAAGATTTATGTGATTCATTTGACTGCAATATTCACTTGACTGCGGGAGTCTGCAGCATCTCTGAGGTCTGCCCGAACACAGAGACACATGTACAGAGACACACACACACACACACATACACACATACACACTGAAAGACACCACACACAAATTATACACCCAAAGATACACACCGGCACTCACGTACATGCGCAGAAACATTCTCACATACTCAGACACACAGAGAGTCACATGAACAGATACACACACAAATACCTCACACATGCACCCTTGCTTCCCTCTGGCCCTGACGCCCCTACTCTATCCCGCTGGGGCCAGGTGACACTTGCCAGCTCTCTTGACAATGGCCTCGCCCAAGGAGGATGGGAAGTAGCCGACGCGATCATTGCCTGTCCGGTTGTCATGGACACAGCCCTTCCACCGGCCATCAGGATGCTGTTCCAGGACCTGGTCACACAGGGTGCTTGGCTCAGGGACGCTCTCCAAGTCCAGGGGTAGCCTGTTCCTCCATTGCACTCTGCACACTGCCCACCGCCCTCCTGGGGGCATAATGAGCCAGCAGACCCCTTCTTGGCCCCTCACCGTGATGATGTCCCCAGCCTTCACGTTCAGGCTGGTGAGGTCATAGTTGTTGCAGTAATCCTTGGTCGCCCGGACCTGCAGAGCCGCTGAGGCCTCTGGGAACATGGGAAGCCAAGTACAGTCCTGCAGTCTGGCTGGTAGACCCAGACCACTGCGCAGCCCCCAGGTCTGCCCCCAGCCCACCTCGGAGCAGCTGCTTGATCTCTTTGCTGGCTTGTGATGTGGTAAATTGGTGCACTATGTCCAGTGCCGTCTGGCTGTAGGTATTCCGTACCTGGGCATTGATGCCACTCTGTGGGGACAGGACATCTGTCAGTGCTCCCACTCATGCTGCCCTCTGCCTCACCTCACCTCAGCCCCCATCTGGCTTTTACCTCTCACCTGGCCTCACTTTACCTCCCATTCCCCAGCACCCCTAGCCTCAGTCTCCAAGGCCCTAACCCTAGACACCTAGGTCTCCTATGTCCCCACCTGTGCCTAACACCCACACCACCCCAGCCTCAGTCCCCAGAGCACTGCCTAGCCCTACATCCACTCTCATGACCTCAGCCAGCCTTCCTCAACCCCTGGTCCTACCACTGCCCACCCCAGTCCCTCCACCCTCATCCCCCTCACGTCAAGCAGCAGCCGGACGACTTCGGTCTTCCCGCAGAGCGCGGCCTCATGTAGCGCAGTGCCAGACTTGGTCTGCCGGTTGATATCAATGCCAGCCTGAAGGAGGAGTCTGGGAAAGACAGGAGGGTGGGCACGGCCTTGCAGCAGGAGCCTCAGCCCCCAGTCAGGCCTGACACTGACCTGCACCTGCTGGAGGCCCAACCCAGCTAACACCCAGAGCTGTGGCCTGATCCTAGCTTTGACTAGCCCATAACACTCACTTTGTGGATGGTGAGACTGAGACTCAGAGGGCTCAAGATGCCTTCTGTGAGGTCACATGGTCTGGCTGTCCTGCTATGGACACCACTCCTCGGCCAGTTTCTGGGCAGCAGCCTGTCCCAGCCCTGCTCCCTCACACACTACCTAGGTATCTGGGAGCTAACCTCATCTCACTGCCCCCAGTTGCCCTGCCTCTTCCCTCCCAGCCCTGTTCCTTGCCCTGGCCCCTCCCTAGCCCCCACCTGTACCTGATTATGTCAATGTGGCCGTTCTTGGCCGCCAGGTGCAGGGGGCTGGTGCCGTTGGGGTCGGTGGCATCCCCTGGCCGGGGTTCTAGCAGCGCGGCACACATATTGCTATTAAGCAGCAGCTGGACCACCTGGGAGGAGGAGGCAAGGAGCTGCCTGATGTGGAGTAGGGGTCTCAGAGGTCTGCCCTACCCCTACCCTAGACAAGAAGGACAGAGCAGGTATGGTAGGGGAGGGGTGAAAAAACAACCAGTTCCACTCACTCAACTCCCGGGGACACTTACCCCCACACGGCCAAACTCACAGGCCAGGTCCAGGGGTGTCTTCCCCGAGTTATCCACAATGCAGGGGTTCGACTGGTGTTGAAGCAGCATCTCAGACTGTGAGGTAGGGTCACCACACCCTTCAGGCCACCTGGTCTGGGCTGCCCACCAGGCCAACCGGCCTTTCCACCCATATCTCAGCCCTCACCATGTCATAGTGGCCATGCTGGGTCTCCAGCTCCCCCAGGCCATAACTCCCTGCCCACCCATATCACTCCCCTCATCCCATCACAGTGGCCATGCTGGGTTCCCAGGTCTCCTAGGCCATGCCACCCTGCCCACCCACGTCACTACTCTCACCCCATCAAAGTGGCCATGCTGGGTCCCCAGATCCCCCAGGCCATGCCACCCTGCCCACCCATGTCACGGCCCTCACCACATCATAGTGGCCATGCTGAGCTGCCAGGTGCAGAGGGATGTGGCCCTCATCGGAGGGGACATTGACTGCCGAGCCCGCCTTCAGCACCAGCTTCATGGGCTCCTTCCGGCCCTGCCAGGCTGCATAGTGTAGTGGCCGCATGCCTGCGGGTGGTGGGAGCTGACCTGACCCCTGAGCCCCGTCCTGATCACAGGACACTGAGCTCATGAGAACCTGCCCTGCCCTCTGACCTAGACAGAGCCCCTGGGCTGCTGCCACCGTCAAGGGGCAGCCCAGGGTCCCAGGGGCCCTCAGTCGACCTGGACCTGGACCCTGGAATTCAGATTATCCAGGCCTTGAGGCTGCCACCCCAACACTGATCCCTAAATTCCACACCACCAGTAATTAGGAGAACTTACCCCTGATTTTAATCCCTAAATACCAAACCACCCAATACTTTGAGGGGACCCCCTCAGCCAGAGACCTTAGAGACTCCACTTCTAACCCCTGCTACTACCTGTCCAGGTCTTGGAGAACCCATCGTTGGACCTAGGCAACGCTGGTCCTTCCCCTTTCATTGTCCCACCTCCTTCCCATCCAGCCCCCCCTTCCAGGTCATACCTTTGTTGTCCTTGATATCTACAGCGGCCTGGGCCTCCAGCAGCAAGGAGATCAGTTCAGTGTTGCCATTCAGGGCGGCGTGGTGCAGGGCTGAGAAGCTGGGGCGGATGGTGAACACGGACATGTATGGAAGGGAGCTGGTATCACTGGCCCCCGAGAGCCCAGTTATCATGCCAGGACAGGGCCCCCGGCTAAAACTCACCCATCTGGGTCCTGGAAGTTGACATTGATCTTCTTAGTGGAGCCCAGGAGCTCTGGGGGTGGAAGAGGGACAAGGTGACAGGATGCTCTGACCACCCCTTGCAGGATCCCAGTCTGAGACAGTGTAGAGCTGGGAGGGCTGCTGTGCCCAGTGTCAGAGCCCACATTCAATCAATCATTTACTTACTCCCACATTCACTCATTCCTACACTCACTCCCATAATCAGGCATTCATTTCTACATGGACTCACTCACTCATGCTCACATATCTGCCCTGTCCTCCGCTCCAGCTACTAGCTCTGTGGCCCTATCTTTCCCATTGCCCTGTGAGGTCAGGGGGATTATGGTAATATGTCTCCAGCTGACCCCTCACCCACCCATGGGGTGCTGGTGGAACTGGAACACTCTGGTGAGGTGGAGGGAGACCAGTAGTCCAATCCATGTCTCAGAAGGACCCAGATGGGGCTGGGGTGGTCAGAGGAGACTGGGACACCAGAGATGGGGCATCTCAGCTGGGCGATATGGCATTCTACAGGGAAGTTTCCTGGGTCCAATCCAGCACATACTACCTAGACTAGGAGGGTCTCAAGGCCCTGGGGAATGCAAGGCAGAAAGAGGTGAGGCAGGGTGTCCTCATGGGGTCATGTGCAGCCCATCTGAAGCCAGAGGGGTCCCATACCCTTCCTCTGTGCCTCCTATAGGCCTCTACCTGCCTGAACCCCATCAGATGTCTGCCAAAAGTGGGGAGCCCCATATCCCCCAGTCATGGACTCCAGGCCAGCCGGACTCAATCCAAGCCCCTGCCTGTCCGGCCCTTGGTTACATAACCCATTTGTAGGTCAGACACTCTGTGAGGGAGGGGGCTGGTGGGACAGAAGCCCCTTTGTCCACTCAAGACAGGGCTAGGGAAAGGCCTGAGGGCAGAGAGAGGCAACAGGGAGCCACAGAGAACTCAGAAGCTCCAGATCCCTGGCACCCCTGGACACACAGATGGGTACCCCCACAACCCATGACCCCAGTGAAGCCAGATAGGCTTGCGTTCGAATCCCAGCTGTACTCTTCAGTGCACCTGGCCTGGGCCACCGGCCTCCCTCCTCTCTAAGCTTGAAGACTTGGGCCTGGGTCAGTGAGGGGGGCTGGCGGAGGCAGCCTCACCGACGAGCGAGCATGCATTAGCAGACAAGAGGCGCAGGGTCTGGCAGGAAATCAGGACCCAGTAATTGGCAACTACTAATATTAGCAGTACAGGAATCCCACCCCCACCCTCGGGAGCAAGCAAGGGGTTTCTCCTGCAGAAACAGAGGGACGCTTCCAAGGAAAGAGGCATTCCCAGACTCCCCTGCGTCCTCCCCCACCCCCCTACCACACCCCTCCCAAGAGGCTCAGACACCTTGGCTCCATCACCCTCCCCTGGCAGGCCATTTGCCAAGCCCTGGAGCCAGCCTGTTCTGCTTCTATCTTCTCCATCAGTAAAACTGGTTGGCTCTGCTCTCAAGATCACTCAGAACGCAACCTCTTCTCATCTCTGCCACCACCCTGGTCCTCTCCTCCCACCGCCATCCCTGCACTTGTCCAGCACCCATCTGCCCATCCTCCACACCCACTGCACTTGGGGGACGCTGATGAAACATGCATTAAGACTTCTTTTTGACCATGATGTCCATCACCCCTGTTCCAGTAATGTGGGTCATCTCATGTCCCTCCAACATGCTAGCCATGTTTGCCACTGGGCCTCTGCACATGCTCTGTGTGCACACTGTTGCGAGCACCCCCAGTAAGCCTTCTCACCCTTCAGGTCTTTGCTCAACTGCCCCTTCTTTGTGATACCCTTTGGTCTCCTTATCTAAAACAGGAACTTCATTCTGTGCTGTTTCTGTTCTTTCTTCACCATCACTTGCCCCATCTAGCATTAGCTTCCTCTACCTTCCTCAAGCTCATAGATTTAGGGCTTGTGATCAGAGAGTGTTGGTCCCTGGAGAAGGAGATTGTGCTTGGGAAAGTCGAAGGTGAATGAAAAAGAAGAGCCTCAGCAAGACGGACTGACATGGGCTGTAACAGGGGACTCAGGCAGAGCAGATTGTGAGGGTGGTCCGGGACTGGGTGAAGCTTCCTTCTGCTGAAGCTGCAAGTGGGTCCTTGTGAGTTGGGAGTGGACTTGACTTCACCAAACATCAACAGCAACAGTATCTTGGTAACTGTCCACCTCTGTCACTAAACAAATAGCCCCCAGAGTGTAATGTGTACTGGGTTGCTACCCTGATTTAGAACTCCTAAACATAAGGCCGACAGTTCTAATCCATCAGCCGCTCCTGGGGGGAAAGGTGGGCATTTTCCTGCTGCAAAGATCTATAGCCTGGAAACCTGATGGAGGATCGTCATGGGTCAGAACAGACTCGATGGCACTGGGACTGGTTTTTGCTCCCATCACTAAACTAGCAGCCACATGAGGGCAAGAGCTTTGACCTGGTTAGCTGTGTCCTCTGTGCCTTGTAAGAAATGCCCAGTCAATTGTCAGCAACTGTGTGCCAGGTGCCACATTCTGCCTGGCTGTGGGGTCTGCTTCAGGGGCATGCACCTGATAGGGTGCCCATAGTCAGTATCCTGAAATTCTTAGTCATTTCTGAGCCAGACGTCTCAGGTCTGCTTGGGCCCTGACCTCCCTGGCCTTCCAGTCCCAACTGTGGTCACTGTGCTGGTTCAGGCTCGATGCAGATACCCCTTCTCCTGGATGCTCTGCTGACCTGAATGATCTTCTGACCCCCATGCATCTTAGTTCAAATGTGGCCAGTTCTCACTGCCCCCCGCAACACTTCCCAGGATGCTCTGACCCCCATCTCTCCCTCTCTGTCTCTCACACTCACACACATACATACACACACTCCCTCATAAGCACATACTCACAAAGCCAGGCCCATCTTCCCACCTGGCCACACTCACACACTTCCCAGCCAGGGGTTCTATCTGTGACCACCCCCCATATGGGGACAGGGACAGGCCCCTTGCTAAGGCCATGTCATCCCTCTATCCCTGCCCATGGTTTCATCAGAAAGAAAAGTTGTAATTGGAGGGAGAGAAGCTGGAAGGCCGGGGTGCCCCAGGCAGGCCCCCAGTGGCAGCAGAGAGAAGTTGAGTAGAGGACAGCTGGAGGGCACTGGGGAGGAGAGGAGAGACTGAGCTAGAGGTCCCACAGGCACCGCTCATGCGAGCTCCCTCCTTCCCACAAGGTCCGTAAGGCTGAGACTATTCTGGATCACTACCAGCTTGATGGTGATGGCACAGGGGTTAAGCACTTGGACGCTGCTTGAAAGGTACATGATTCGATGCTCCCAGTTGCCCTACTGAAGAATGGTGTGGTAGTCTGTCCCCTCCTGGTGCAGGGCTACCGTGTCCCAACAGGCACTAGGAGTTGGAATGCACTCGGCAGCTGCAGGTTTGGGGTTTTGAGTTTTGATGTTTAAATGAAGAAAGCCTGGTGCCACACTAGTTAAGCACTCAGCTGATGACCAAGAAGTCAGCGGTTCATACCCATCAGCTGCTCCAAACCACAATGAGCAGGCAGTCTGTAAAGAAAACTGCCTGGGAAGTCCATGGGCAGCTCGACTCCATCCTACAGCGTGGGGATGAGTCTAAATTCACTAAGTGGTAGTGGGGTTACCAGCTCAGCCAGCTTGGGCCCACCAGCCACAGGACCCACCACTCCTTTTGCACTCCACGCTGCAGAGGTCCTGGGAGTCCAGAATCTCTCCCTCGCCTTACATGCCATCCTCCCAGTCACAGGTCACACCTACAGTGCTCCAACTGTCCCCTTCCGTTATGAAGCCCTTGCTTCCTGGGTTCTAGGTCTTACCTCCACACAACTTAACCTCGTGGTTTCCAGCAGAGCAAGAACCCTCACCCTTCAGAGTAGGAGGGACCTCTACCTCCTTTTGCTCCTCCCAGGCAAGAAGCTTAGGGTGAGTGCTCAAAGGAAGAAATCAAGAAGGGTGACAGCAACCTCAACCAGTATATTCAGTGCATTCTTCTGGGGTGTCTCGCCTGAGCCTAGGAATAGGGAATTTGGGCCAGTGGGCAAGCAGGGGTCTGTCCCCAGCAGAGGGCTAGTCACCCCTCTCTAAATCAGGTCTCCTCCCCAAGGACACCCAAAGCTTCCCTGTCACCCTTCCAGGTGGATGGCAAGGCCTGAGGTCACCAAGGACGGTGATAGGGGTGGGGAAGGAATGTGGCAGGTAGGGGCAAAGGAGCCCAACTCTAGGCATTTTGGTGACACCCTTGAAGCTGGGGGAGGCCTGGAGGATGCTGTCAGCCTCCCCGCACCCTGAGGCCATAACTCGAGCTGTACTTTGTTGAATCAAAACACATCTTACTCCAGAACAGGCCAGTGTTGCCATGGCAACCTTGTGAATTCATGGAGGGATTTTGCTGTCTGATTCCTGATACCCGCCCCTGTGAGTCAGAGAGTACAGCTCCGGGGGGCCAGGGCAGGTGGCTAGCTTGCCTCAGGGGCCAGAGTGAGCAGGGGTACAGGTGGAGGGACAGGTAGAGATGACCCAGGTGGAGAATCAAAGAGCTATAGCTCACCTCAACCAGGATCTCTCAGTGTGTTGGAGTGGAAGAGAGGGGGGAATCCCCAAAACAGGCCACTACATCTTGGTCCCACCTGACCCAGGATTGCTGAGGGACCAACCAGCTCCATGCCTGCTGAACGAATATCAGGTCTGCACCTCATGTAAGGAGCTCTGGTGGTGGAGTGCCTTATGTGCTGGGCTGTTAACGGAGAAGTGGGCAGTTCATGTTCACCAGCCATTCATCAAAAGAAAGATGAGCCATCTCCTCCAGTAAGGGCTGACAAGCCAGTGAAGGGTCACCATGAGAATCAACTGACTCCAGGCAGTGGATATGGGTTTAGACTTGTTACCCTCCTCCACGGAATCCCTCCACCCGTGGCAGGAACTTAAAGATCACAAACTATCCCATCCAACAGATGAGGAAACTAAGGGTGGAGAGCTCAAGATGTTGTGCCTGAGACTTTGTGGCCACTAGGTGGGAGTCTTACCTTGTCTTTACCTCTCAATCCCTTCACCTACTTTGGTGGCCAGAGGCTACTTCTGTAGGGACCCTCTTCTTGGGCAAGGCAGGGCCAGTCTGGGAGACTCAGTGTGTTGCTTTGGCCAGAGCAGGCTAGACTGGTACTACCTGGAGGCTCCCCCTGGGTCTTAAGGACCTCTCTCCTGGACTTAGCCAAAGCAGTCTCAGTTTGCAGCATCACCCCCCGCCCCCCAACTGGAGACCAGGGAGGGGCCGTAGGGTGGGGAGGGGAGGGGCCCTTTGGCCCCATGTGCGCTCTGCAGGGCCCTGCCCACCGCACAGGTGCCCTGACACAGTGACACTACCATACGTGCGCAGCCGCACACGCGCCGTCCACACGCCCATCCATCCATCTCGGCCCCCGGAGAGCTTGAGGCTGAGCTGGGATGAGCGCCGGGATCAGGGCGCCAAGCTCCTGGTCCTTCCCTGGGGGCGCCTGCGGTGCACGCTCGATCGCGACGCTGGCCAGGGGTTTCCCCTCCCCCTTGCGGCCCCCCCTCCCGGCAGGGACGTCGCAGCGGCCGGGGCTGCTGAGCCTGCTCGCGCGCACGGTGGGCGCAACCCTCACCTCATAGCAGCCCCTGACTGCAAGCCAGCCTGCCCGCACTGGGCGACCTTGGCCTCGGCCTCCCCAGCGTCAAATGGCCCCCTGGCCCGCCAAGCCTCGGCGGCCACACCCCCAGCGTGGTCCTGCCCCCACCTTCCTGCAAAGCGTGTTATTAAAACCAGGCAGAAGGGGCCTGCAGAGGCTGTCACCCCAAGTCGCCCCTCGCCACAAGGGGTCCCGCCCGGTCTCCAGGGTGGGGGCTCTGCCTCTCCCTTTTAAAGTCTCTGGCAGAGCCCTCCCACTGCCAGCCTGCAGCCCGGGGAGGGAGGGGGCGGCGGAGGGAAGGGGTAAATGCCACCCGAGGCCCCTGGGCCAGACTGGCTCTGGGCGCCGCCCTCCCTCGGACTGCGCCCCGCCCGCCCAGGTTCCCGCGCCCCGCGCCCCACACTCACTGGCTTTGCCGGGCCGCGGCCTCTGCAGCAGGCGCTGCGCGGTGCCCACGTCCTCCGCCTTCACCGCCTGCACCAGCTCCTGCTCCTTCCCCATGGCGCGGCTGGGCCGCAGCGACGCGGCTGGCGGAGCGCTCGGCGCGG